AACCCTTAAAACAGTGAAACTTTGAGCCCTTGAGTGATCCCGATCCTTTATTTCAGTTTCTGATCATTGTTTCAATGAATAAACCATGAAGAAAATGCTTTGATTTGCAGAACTGACCAAGTACCAGGTAGGCTCACCCTGTTATACAGCATGTACTCCCCCGTGTGATATAGCATCTCACTCTCAGCCTCCCAAGCATACAGTAAGCTCATTACCCAAGCTCTGTAAAAATAGTTCAGCAAATCACCATCCACTTCCCAGACAGATTAGCCAATCATGACTCACTTCCAGAGTCCTCTGGTTACTTTAGGGAGGGACCTGTAGGGTAGGTGGAAGGGGGGGGGGAGTTCCTCAGGCAGAGAGGAGGGAAGATACTTCCAGTTGGAGTCGGATACAGTGAGGGGGGCGAGCTTGTGGCTGGAAATGAGAGATGGGCTGGGAGTTGTGGAGTAGGCAGCTGGATGAGGAGGAGCTGGTGGTGAACGGTGAGTTTAAGGCGCCTCATTCTGCCTCGCTGATGTAGCTTTTCTTGTTGGACCGCTTTACAGATCTCCTACCGGGAGAACAAGTCGTTTGGATCCGTCCATCACTTTCTCTACAGCCGCTAAGGCTCCCTGAGGTGGATCCGCCTTGTTGGCTGCTTCCTGTGTCTAAATAATGTTTATGTTGTTCATGTGCGGGCCTGGCTGTGCACATGTGGCGGTGACTTCAACTTTACCACAGCAGAGCTTAATCATTAAGAACATTTACTGCCCATCATGTGATTTGGGTCTTGTAACTACTTGAGGTTGCACAATAGACAAAGGGGCTCAACTAAGATAAAGGCTTTATAAGAATCCCAACTATCTTATCTGCTTGTTTTTGTAGATTGTTGATGTTTTGTTTCTTATGCATCTCTGAAGTTTTTTTTGTTCTTACTACAGCTTTAATCCTCTAGCTGTAGTTGATTTGTTAATTTTAGGGATGTGTTTCTTTGGTAGTTAGCTTATTAGGTCCTAAAGAAGCCAGATTTATGAGATTAAGCCTGATTATTTTCTCAAGGCTTCACTGACTCTGTGTCTGTGAATGAATTTAAAGCAAAGCTAATCCTGAGTCCATATACAGGCCGTTTAAAGCAGGACACAAGTAAATGCTTTTATTAAGAGTTATATTGTTATAAGCTTGACTGATTAGACTGTTTATTAGAAATGTCCCTTCAATGTTGTCTTTTTATTACTTTTCCTTATTTCAGGAGAGAAAAAGTAACTTAAAGGGCTTAGATTTGTTTTTCTAAAGAAATATTCATAGTAATCTTAGTGAGTTAGAATAGAATAGAAAATTCCTTTATTGTCCCACAATGGGGAAATTGTGGTGTTATAGCAGCAAAATGTTATAGCAGCATAAGTGGTCACACAATGTGGACCTTAGAAAGTGCAGAGTTACTACATTTCTTTTTCTTTTTTACATTAATAAAGTATTTTTGAATTGTATGAATCACATGCAAGTATTAAGAACAGGGTTTTCAAGGACACCAGCTTGTGGTGCTTGTTTTAAAACACGTCTCCCTCGCCACATCACTGCTATCGGTCTCTGAATGGAGGTGCTCTAACGTAGACTCGAGATGCACCGATCAGTTTCCTGATTGTTTTCCTATCCAGTTTTTGTAGCTCATGCCTATTTTAGCTGTTTCACTTTCCATTCAAGCTCTATTCTAATAGCAATTTATCTCTTGAATTTATTAGTAGTAGGGTTGATGCCACACTGTGTGCATAGATCAGTCAAAGTAACATTTAGGGTTTATTTAGTAAATAATGTTGAAAATGATGTTTTTAAGTTCCTTGGTTGTTCAGTGAACATATTTGTTTGCCATTAGCATGATTAGCACAGCTAGCTATACAACACTAAACTGTAGTCTCTGCTTAATTTATTAGTGATTTATTTGATCCTGAAATTTGAATTTTCCTTATTTGCTAAGATATTTAAATCTAATTAAAAGGATGAAAGATGCCACTTACAAACTGGTGAGTAAGCTGGCAATAATCTGGCCGGATTTTACCGATACTTTTTTAGCCTCCTACTTACACCCTCTTTGTTTCCTGTGGCTTTATTTTCACCCTGCTGGCACTGAATGTGGGTTTGTTTGACTCTTCTTCACAGGAAAACCAATGTAGCTGTTTTTTTTTTAAGTTAGCAAGGCATGGTAACACTTTAACATTGTGCGTCTACCAATAAGCAAATGATTTGACTTTGGGTTTGGTGGTCGCTCAAACAAAAAAAATTGAATGTTTCCAGTAACCAAATGTAACCACTCTGAAAATCAGACATTTTTTATAATGGTATTATTCCTTAGTGCATTTTTTTATATTATAACTGACTATACATATTTCGGCCGATTGCATTTCACAGTTCTAAGTTGTCCAGCGTTAGAAGCTAAACATTTCTGTCCTAATTTTGCACCGTATGCTGTCAGAGTGAAAGTAGGCTCGGGCCTCCTGGACTGACTCGTTTTTCATCTGCTTTAGTTCATTCCCTTCACACGCACCAGTTTAACCTGTCGGTTAAGGTGACGGCTGAAAAAGCTCCTTTTGTTTTTAACTCCCAGTGACGTTGTTCCACATAGCTGGAATATTTATTAGTGATGGACCTGCATGGAGTGAATAATTTTCAACTGCGAAGTGTGAGGGAATTTTTAATCACAACTGAATTTTTGGAGCTTTGGGAATGTCTTTAGATTCTGAAATATGCTCCAGTTGAAACTCAGTCGCTATGAAATCACTTAGATCAAATATTATTAAAGCGATAGCTCCACTCCAGGTAAATTTACATTATGGGTCATGGTGGATTCCATTCAAGTTTGATCCTTTAACACAAAATAAACTTTTTAAGTCTCACTATTCACAATGATGGGTTAATCCCTCCTCTTTTATCTCTACTTTTCACCCTGTGGGGACACAACTTCCCTACTTCCTGAACTTAAGGAGCTCTTTTGTGTCCCGTCTTTCATTATTGGATGGACTGATTAATCCAGGTGTGCCTGACCTTAGTACCCATTGGCTAAACACACCTGTATTAATCAGTCCATCCAATAATGAAAGACGGGACACAAAAGAGCACAAAAGTTCAGGAAGTAGTAGAGTTGTGCATAGAGGCCATTGCTGAAGAAAGAACTTCTGTAAACTGTCACAGCTTTTTAAAATTTTCTTATTTATTTTGGCCTCAATTCCCAATGACATCATTGTTAGGAATCTTGAGGTTGTTTCTCCTTGAGCACTTTTTTGCACCAATGTGTTCCTTCTTCTATCAATCAGCTCTTATAATAATCTCGGCTCCAAAATGTGAAAGCAAAAGATTTGTTTGAAGGACTGAAACAAGACATAAATGTTTTTTTAAAACCAAATTGCTCATTTAGAGATTAATGATAAATCAAGGTTTAATGGTGTGTTCACACTGCACGCATTAGCTGTCGCAAAAGCGGTGGATTCACATAGAATCCCTATGCAAACCAGGCTGGGAAGCAGCCAGCGGTGAACTACGAGGTGAGGGCGTAGTTCACCGCTGGCTGATTGTGAGGGGCTAATTGTAGGCGAAGCTTTTTTCCCTTAGAATGGAATATAGAGATAAATTATATTAAAAAAGGTAGAAAAAGGATTCCGCTCCAGAGGTCTTTAGGTGGCTTTAAAAAGCAGTTTTTATTTAGTCCTATAAGAAGTGTTAATCATCCTCACTTGCCTCCTGCACAAAGTCCAGTCTGTCACTGCCCACTGCCCAGCATCGCTGCTTTCTGAGGGGGCAGATTTCCAAGGTAGTCCCGCCGAATCCTTTTTTTTTTTCTTTTTTTTTTTCCTCCCATGGATTTATTGTCATTACTCTGTCACAAGTACAGATCAACGACATTAACTCTTTGAATTTAACCCTTCCCCTTCGGGTGCAGTGGGCTGCCAATGTGCAGAGCTCGGGGAGCAGTGTGGGGGTTAAGGTTCTTTGCTCAGGGACCCAGAGTGGCAGTCTGTGGGAGTGGGGCTTGACCTCAGAACCTCTGGATTCCAAGTGCTCTGCCCAAACAACTAGGCCACCACTTCCCAATCAGAACTGCATCTGGATGTACCTTTTCCAATCACCCACCATGTACCTTTGATCCTTAGCAGCTACCTCAATCAGCTGCAGTTTAGCCGGCCACTGTGCTCCTCTGCTCTCTTCTTGAGCTACCTTGTCTTCCTGCTCTGGTATGCTGTCTGCCTAGGGGCTCCTCTGATCTACTGCTGTGGTTCTTTATCTCCAGAGGGGGAACAGCCGACCCCCTTTGCTGTGACAATTCGCCGGTTGCTGAGCACTGCTGATTGACTGGTGCAAGTCTACTAATTTGGTTTGAAAGCTGTTCAAAATAGAGAGTAGCTCTTGTATTTTTTGTTTTATTTACTTTTTTATTATCTTTGGTTTAATTGTTAGACTTTTGAAATCCTGAGCTGAGGTTTAGAGTAAGCCGGAGTTTTATAAGACACAGAAACCCTGTAGCTCAAGGCCCAACTTATTTCTCCAAAAAATGTCAGCCTTCTCCAATAAATCATTAAACTAAGCCATCAGGTATCACACCTACAAATGCACTGTTTCTATGTTTTCTACGTACATGTTTGACGAGCAGGATTCTTTTGAAGTCAGGTTCTAATACTGATGAGCTACCATGTGCTCAGCTATAACATCTATGCTGAAAATGTATTTAATTCTCCCTGTAGTCAAACTGTGATGGATTTAAGTGCATCGTCTGCGTAGCGCATTATTCATTTCTGTCAGGGAAGACCTGTGCAATGTTAAACTGCACTTTACTGCACCATCTAATGGAAAATACACTGTGTGTGAGAGGGAATGCAGCACTGGCTCTCATAACTCTGTGTGACTGATAGACTTCATATGGCTTCAGGTCAATAACGTAAGAAATGACCCATTATAACAGAAGGAAGAAGCCAGAACCCATCAGTTGATCATGACTGAGACTCAGCTCTACCTTAACATCTCTCTTCCCCCAGGAGAGTATGATGAGCACAGCAGCAGCAGCAGCAGCAGAGCAGCCGGGATGAACGGGATCGGCCACACTAAGCTGGTGGACCCTTTAGAAGACCCTCTGCCTGGAGTGGGCACCTATGAAGACTTCAACACCATCGACTGGGTCAGGGAGAAGAGCAAGGACCGGGACAGGCACAGAGAGGTACGGAGGAACACGAAGTACAAATGGAGCGAGATACAACAGAAACCTGGCATAAAGAAGTGTTGACTTTCTGATTATGAGCTATGTTTGTTCTGTTGGAGGTGCTGGCAGCAGGGAGCTATTAAAACAGGCTTCAGTTTCAGGCCTTTTTTCACTGATAACCATTACAGTGATATTTAAAGTGAATAAATGTCTTCAATTTCTGTTGTTATGCAGATCACCAATAAAAGCCGAGAGTCGACTGTGGCCCTGCTGCACAGCGTCAGCGATGCCTTCTCTGGATGGCTGCTCATGCTGCTGGTGGGACTCATGGCAGGTACTTTACACTCTCCTCCTGACAGATTCACCTGGTTAAATCAGTGGTAGGTAGATGGACATTAGATCTAATCGGATTCTTATTTTAATGAAAGATCAGAATATATCCAGATAAGCTGAGGTGAAATTAACTGTTTAAAGCCTGCAGATAAATCTTGGAACAATAATTCAGTGAAAGCAGTTACAGTTTAATTTAGAAGATGGATTCTCTACTGTGGTTCTTTGGTTCATTACTGCTATAGCAACTGTTTTTAGAGCCCACCTGGTGACCACAGCAGGTGGAGAGGCAGGAAATGGAATTGGGATAACAGTGAAAACAGATTATTTATTATGAACCTGATGAATCAAGGGACTCAGAGTACCTGGCAGCAGTGCTGCCCAGGTACCCAATCATCCTGCTTGGAAGCTTCAACAGTGACACCTGGAGAACTTGATTACCCAACATCCCAACACTGCTAGCTTACACAGATCTAAACCTAAATGGCTTTTTTTTTTCTTTAATTGGGCTTCTGTCTAAACAACCATACCGGTCGTGTAGGGCCCAATAACACTGTGGCAATTTAGCCAGCGTGTGCCTGTCATACGAAAAATGTGGCAAAAAAGCTGGCATACGTTGTATAAGTTATGAGCACGGTGAAGCACGCTGGCACACATCGACATACGGCAAGTACGTTGAGAAGTTTTGTGCGTGCTCAAAATTTTTTGACGTATGCCACATGTGGTGGATAAGTTACAGGTACGTTATATGATCGTTAACAGAACTTAAGAGTAAGTTACTCATAAGTCATGGCGTCTAGCTTATCCAAAACCTATGAGTAACTTGTGCATAGCTTATGCGTAACTTATCCAGAACGTCTCTCCAACACATATTTGACGTGTTCCTGACGACCGCTGAACGTGTTTCTAACGTACAGCTACTGTTTAATGGCGTATTGTCAGCGTTTTGGTATAAAAGGGGGTTCACAGGAGGAAACCGTCAGTTACCCAGACTGCTTCCTCATCAGAGGGTGAGCGAGAAGATGATGGCTCCTTCCTGCGTTCACGCTCACAGCCAACAAACTTCCTAGTAGACATGATACTGAATCTGCTGCGACTGTAAACCTTCTTTCTTTCTGTTTAGTTTTTATTTTCATCTCTTCTTTTTTTTTTTGGCAGGTGGTAACAGCAGCTAGCTTAAAACCGGGATAAGAGACATCTTTTGATGCAGGCCGAGCGCCTCCTGGCACATTGCTGCTCCTCTCAGGACACTGGCTTGTAGGGCTGGGCGATAAGACGATACATATCGTACGGACGATAGAAAAGTGTCTATCGTGCTAATTCTATTCTATCGTTTCTATCGTTTCTAACACAATTGTATCTCGTATTCATGCAAATATTTCCCATGGTAGACTACGACAATCGTATTAGTGTAGCCACGTANCAATCATCCTGCTTGGAAGCTTCAACAGTGATACCTGGAGAACTTGATTACCCAACATCCCAACCCTGCTAGCTTACACAGATCTAAACCTAAATAGCATTTTTTTTTCTTTAATTGAGCTTCTGTCTAAACCATCATATCTGTCGTGTAGGGCCCAATAACACTTTGGCAATTTAGCCAGCGTATGCCTGAGGTATGAAAAATCTGGCAAAAAAGCTGGCATACGTTGTATAAGTTATGAGCACGGTGAAGCACGCTGGCACACATTGACATACGGCAAGTACGTTGAGAAGTTTTGTGCGTGCTCAACATTTTTTGACGTATGCCACATGTGCTGGATAAGTTACAGGTAAGTTATCTGATCGTTGACGACCGCCGAACATGTTTCTAACGTACAGCTACTGTTTAATAGCGTATTGGCAGCTGTCAGTTGTCCTCCAGACTGCATTCCAATCATAAGGTGAGCGAGAAGGTGATGGATCCTTCCTGCGTTCATGCCCACAGCCAACAAACTTCCTAGTAGACGATACTGAATCTGCTGCGACTGCAAACCTTCTTTCTTTCTTTTTAGTTTTTATTTTCATTTCTTCTTTTTTTTTTTTTTGGCAGGCGGTAAACAGCAGCTAGCTTAAAACCGGGATAAGAGACATCTTTTTATGCAGGCCGAGCGCCTCCTGGCGCATTGCTGCCCCCCTCAGGACACTGGCTTGGCTTGTGACATTTTCACTGCCTTGCGTCATGCATAAGTTAGGCTGTAGTTTGATATAAATTTTGGAGTTGTTATGAATACTCTGTGTATACGCCAAAAATTGAATAAATACATAGAAAAGTTCAGCGTATGCCAGCAGTTTTAAAGATTGTGGGACGTCAGGTATACGCTGTCTAAAGTGGCAAGGTGTGACAGGGCCTTTAGTAGCCAACTGTTTCAGAGGGTTGACCCAGACAAATTGTGCTCCTGCACTACTCTTTTTTTTTTTTTTTTTTTTTTGCGTTCTCTGCTCCATCTCTGTGCTCATCACTCATTTAACTGAAAGTAAACGAACCCCACCAACCAACCAATCAAAGTAGTCTTAAGAAAAACGAGTGGAGCAGGAGTCTGGATGGAGAATCATAGTTTGTCAGAGTTCAGACTGGTTTTGAGTGCGGGGGTGTGTGAGTATAAACACGGCATATTGGTCTCATGTATTCTCAGGGTGGTGGCACACAAAATATATCATTTGTATCGAAGTTGATTTTTGTAATCAATTTATTTCACAATTCAGTTTGATGTCATTGATTGCTAACTTTTTCTGTTGGATTTGGAATATATTCTCAGATGTTACAAAGTACAGGAGTTAACTCTAAAATGATGCTTTAGTAAAAATATTAATATATTTACATTCAGAACTGAACCCAGTGCAGCTACACTTTTTAGGCACTTTTTATTGTACCTGACAAACATAAAAATGAAATACTTTAAATGAGTTTGGACCACAAGGAAGTGGCTACTAACAGTGTATTTCACAAAATTATAGTGGAAATGTAAAAAATAGAGACTGATATTTGGCCGTTCAAAGTAAAATTGTTTTAAATCAATCAATACGAAAATAAAACAACTCTAGCTGTTGGGTTGGTATAGAGTTTAGGCAAAGTGCCTCTTGATTCGCAGCCTGGAGCAGTAAGGAGGGAACGGAGCTGGAGATTTACAGACTATGGTCAAAACCTGGGTGATGACCAACAGAACAGGACCTCAGATAGAAGCTGCTGAAATGAACTTCCTCCACAGGATGGCAGGGCTCTGCCACTGTGATGGGGCACAGCGCTGTCTCCTGGCTGGGCTGAGAAGGTATCTGGCTTCTGATTGGAGGAGCCAGGCGAGGAGTGAGGCGGGAGGGAAGTCTGTCTGGTCCCACATAAAGCAAAAGATAAATAAAAAAATACAAACCCAGGTTTAAAGCCTTGCAGGGCAGCATAAAGCCCACTGCTCTCATTGAGCCATTAAAAACAAAGACAAAACAGTTCAGGTGTTTTATAAAATATGTGAATTAGGAAATTGTCTATATACCAAATACCGGTATATATATTTTGTAAGTCAATGTATAACACGGATGCATAAAAACCTCATTTTATTTCAGTGTTAAATTCTGTTTAAAGTAACAGATTATAATTCAAAACGTCTCCGGACCTTTACTGGTTGTTGATTTTCTCTAGTCGGACCCCGCTGATTTTTTTATTTAGTTACCCCTGAACTAGATCTTAATTGTTTCCTTATTTTTGAAAAAATCTAAAAATCTAAAAGCTACACTGTCTATTTCTCTGCTCTGATACCCAGGATGGCAACATCCCTGAGGAGTTTCCTCATTAGTGATCTTCCTGTTTGTGACATAATCTCAGTATAAATGCAGCTTCTTCTGTGCAGACATCGGAGGTTTGCAAGCAGACAGGATGGAAATAAAGCTGTGGAGAAATTGAAAAGCTGGTAGCTCATAAAACATCCTAGTGTTCAGCATCTGAGATACATTCAGAGTCCTGCTAAACCGATCATCTGAAAATGGAAATGTAACCTCTTCCCTGAGCTCCTCGGATCTTCTAATGAAATGGAGGAAGCTTTGGTCAAATTAAGGAAGCTCATACATCCTGTTCTCGTATTTAAAAGGTCTCCTAAATCTAAAATGTTCTGCCCTCCGTCCTGCAGGGGCTCTTGCCGGCGGCATCGACATCGCAGCCCACTGGATGACGGATCTGAAGGAAGGGGTGTGCCTCAATGGCTTCTGGTTCAACCACGAACACTGCTGCTGGACGTCCAATGAGACCACTTTCAAGGAGAGGGACCGCTGCCCCCAGTGGAAGAGCTGGGCTGAGCTCATAGCAGGAACCTCTGAGGTAGGACGCCGTTCCAGCTGTTAGCTTCCCCAGAGGAAGAGTCGCTTCTCGCAGCTGAATGCTTTCAAACTGGAGCTAAAGGTGGACTTCCAAAACAAACACCAGTCAGACACTTAATGGATAAAAGTGATGCTTTGGTTCCATCTGCTGGCCGTTTTGCGTCTCATTGTTACAAACTCTACTTCTTCTTGTGACTTCATGAAAATAAGATTTTAGTTGTTCTCTATGTGTTTATATTTAGATATTAAGATCAATGAGTTAAGCTGGTCTTGCTTTGAACTAATATGGTGGGTTGTGTGTGTTTTCTTTCAGGGTCCGTTTGCCTACATATTGAACTACCTGATGTACATAATATGGGCTCTCCTCTTTTCCTTCTTGGCTGTGACGCTGGTCAGGGCCTTTGCTCCGTATGCCTGTGGATCAGGGATACCAGAGGTAAAAATAAACCTTAACTCTAGCAGAAAGTTATTTTAAAAGAAAACATCAAGTGAATAAAAACTTAACAGAATGCTCTGTGTTTTACAAAGGTCTGTTTTTCCTTAAATGACCTGCAGTTAAAACCAGAACTAAGCCGTTGTTTTTCTCTGATATAAAAATGAGACCAGACTGTTCCTGTTTCTGGTCAGTCAGGTTAACCAACATTCTTTGTTGTTTAAGATCTGCTTTCAGCTGGGCTTAGACAAACACTGCTCACCTGTTCAAAGCATCTAAAAAAAACATCAAACATTCATCTAGTCTAAACCAGGGGGTTGAATGGAATAAAAAGAGTGTGCCTCATCAGGCTGATGTAGTAAAACAATTTGACATAGATTTGGATCCAGTAGGTCACATGACCTGGAAGAAAAGTACCAACTTTTGTCTTTAAAAATATCTTAAAAATTGAAAATAGCTTAAAATTGCATAAAAGCAAGTGTGCCTTACATATGTTATCTATTAGCAAGACTTTATATTAGTTTCATTTTAGCTGGTCGTAAGATAAGGAATTTATTGATTCTTGCTTCTCAAGAGGGGCTTGGTTTAAAGATTTGTTGACGGTCCCTCACTGCACTGCCACGTGTGGGAGGAGGGAGCAGCTGAGAGACGCTGGCTGACATCGGACTCCCTCAGTCGGATCAACCGTTTGCCAGATCTCGGATATTGGATATTAAAGCTCCGCGGAGCATTAATATCCAATATCCAACTTCAAACCAACTTCACTGCGGTGCTGACGGCTCGGTTCTGCTGCACTGTAGTCGACCAAAATCCCGGACGATTTTGATTTTTTTAGGTATAAAGAGTAGGACATGTCCGGGAAAAAGAGGACGACTGGTCACCCTAGTCCAGTGGTCTCCAACCCTTTTCCTCAGGATCTACCGTCCTACAGATTTTAGATGCATCCCTGCTTCAACAGAGCTTAATTAAATGAATGGCTTGAAAAGGTAATCAATCATTTCATTCAGCTGATTGAATCAAATCAGCTGAATTTGATTCAGATGATTTGAAGCAGGGATGCATCTAAAATCTGTAGGACAGTAGATCTTGAGGACCAGGGTTGGAGACCACTGCCCTAGTCTATATCCCAGCGACCCCTCCAAACAAGTCATAGTCATTTTATTTTTCTTTTTTTGTCATGATCATAACATTCTAACATGCTAACAAAGGCCTCTAGACGTTAATGTAGAGCCTCCTGGCAGCTACATTCACAGGTTTGCCTCTATGCAGATAAAGGGGATCCAAATTGTTTAGCAACAACTGCTTCTGTGTCAATAATCAGTTATAAAAGCAACAAATGGCAAAAATCCGTTAATTTACAGAGGATGTCTAACTGATTATGCAGTCTGATCTGGGGACTTGTTTATTAAATGTTGCTTGGGACCCAAAAGCTTATGCAAAAAAATAAGAAATAAAATCAGATTATAGAAACCATGTTTACCCACAAAACCTATCAATTATCCTTTATAAATCACAGCTATACCTGACGTTAGTGCACTAGGCTTCATTCAATGTTGTTATTTAATGGTTACCAAGGGCAACCTCAGCAGGAGAGTAAAAAAAGCAAAGTTTAACTGAGACAGAAATGAATAAATATTTTTTGCATTTAAAATCAGAGGAATGAGTAAAAGGAAGTCTGAAGAATGGAAAGGTGTTACGAGTCTGGTGTTTTGGGTTGATCATTTTAATGAGTAATTCCAAGCAGCTTTGACTCTGTTATCTCAGATTTATGGATACATTTATAGAATATTTTTTTTTTTTTTTTATTTATTTATTTGTTTATTTGACAGGGACAGTACAATTAAACATTGCAACCAAACAGGTGGCCGATGTCCAAGTACATAAGGCTTGTAGCCATGGGCTAATTTGCAGCCTTCGTCCCTGGTTAGGCTTTTAAAAGGTGTTAGCATTAAGGGAGAGGGAGGTTAATAACGACACACAAATGCATAAAAACACACAAAAAAACAAAAAAAAAAACAAGAGAAGTTAAAACAAAAATGTACAGTACAAGCCAGTTTAGTGCTCACACTCTTGTTTGTCTTTGAGCCATTTTTTCAATCTTGTGGAGAAAAGTCGAATATCAGTCTGTGACTTAAGCTCCAGAGGCAAATAATTATGTTCCTAAAAGTTGCTTTAGGCAGATAAATAATTGTTGATCATGTTAAATGTATTTATACGTTTCTTGTTTTTCCTGAATCATTTTGCATCTTTATCTTACTGATTGTAGCGTCTGCTTTTTGCCCTAATTAAGCATGTAGATTATTTCTAGTTTTAGTTCTATTTGTACCACAAATAGCTCGTTTCTTGTATTTATATGTGTGTCTGAGATGAACTATGAAGCAATCTAGCTTCACTTCCCCACCTCACCATCTGTGTCGCCGTTTCTCCCCGTATAGATGGGTCAGAGTAGGTTCAAGGAGACGCCAAGTTTGTTTTTCATAGATCACAGCATTACTGTGTGCGAGTTTAAGGCCCTGTTGAGGTTCTTAAATAAAACCAGAGCTTTTCTGTTTATTCTACCCTTTGCCATCCCTCTTGTTCTCTCGTTGTTTTTCCTCATTTTTAAGGAACAATTTGTTCCATACAGACTCGCCTGATTGATCCGTCTTAGGAAAAAGATCTCAGTCTCATACACAAACATTACGCTTCTGACTCCGGCTAGTTTCATGTCCTCAGATCGTTTTGTCCTGTGACAGAAATCCTTCACAGGTCAGAATCTGTTCAGGAAGCCCGCACTTAGGAGATTAATGTCTTATTTTGAAAGGAACATTAGAAAAAATCGAAATCTAGTCATTTTTTCTTAAAAGAAGTGCATTTTTTGGATGTAAGGGAGAAATCTTGCCAATGGAATAAGACTACGTACATTTAAAATAAGAAAAAACAATTGCATCGTCTTATTTCAAGTACATTTTATCTAATTACCTTATTTTAAGAGTAAAAATACTCATTCCATTGGCAAATCATCTTATTTTCCTACTAAATTCAGGGTAAATACACTTAATTTAAGACATTTAGACTTATTTATAGATATTTTTTGCAGTAAAGTACAGTCAAAACATAAAAAGACTTTCTTTTATTTTTTAAACTTACATCCATAACGATTCCTCACAAAACCTTCCCTGATCCTCTCAGTTTCTCACCCTCTCTCTCTCTCTCTGCTTGTCTGTTTCAGATTAAAACAATCCTCAGTGGGTTCATCATCCGTGGCTACCTTGGAAAGTGGACCTTGATAATAAAGACCATCACTCTGGTTTTAGCCGTGTCCTCTGGCCTCAGTTTGGGGAAGGAGGGTCCTCTGGTGCACGTGGCCTGCTGCTGTGCCAACATACTGTGCCACCTCTTCACCAAATACCGTAAAAACGAGGCCAAACGGCGAGAGGTGGGCTCACCATCTTAATTCTTTTGAAACGTTGGTTTTATATCAGTTGAGCATTATTTTTATTCACTCATTGAGTGAGAACAAAAAAAAAAATCATCAGTTTTATAATTTTTAAGCTGTTGTAAATGATGGTTCAGAAAACAAAGAAACTCATGGTTTCAATCTCTAACTGTGAGGAGTAAATGAAGCGGTTCGAAGTAATAAAAATGTATTTTACTGCACATTTCAGCAGAAAGGCAATTCAAAGTGCTTTAATAATAAAAACAGCAGCTCAGATGTGCAGAAAAATCATTAAAAACACCAATCAAGTACAAAGCAAATAATCAAAACATCAGAATCATCACAGAAAATCATAAAAAATAATTGATCAGACAGACACCAACAACTTAGATTTTGTTTTGAGCAGCTTAAAGGAGAATTCCGGTTTTTAACACTTTTAGCCCATTTTCTGTAG